CACTTGACGTGCTTTTGAACTGCTAGGTGGGCAGGAGCAGGGACCGAGCAATGGGAGCTCACCCCATCGCAGGGATTCGAACCGCCGACCTTCTGATCAGCAAGCCCTAGGCTCTGTGGTTTAACCCACAGCACCACCATCTTCAAATGTCTGAAGGAAGGCCTGTCACATGGAAGATGGAGCAAGCTTGTTTTCTGCTGCTCCAGAGGGTAGGACCTGAACCAGTGGATCCAAGCTCCAAGAAAAGAGATTCTGACTAAACATTAGGGAGAACTTTCAGATGGTAAGAACTGTCTGACAGGGGAGCAGACTCCCTCAGAAAGTGGTGGACCCCCCCTTCATTGGAGGGGTGGATTAGATCACTTCCAACTTTGGGATCACTTCCAACTTCACAATTCTATGGTTCAATGGTTCCTTGTGAATGTGATAGCTTTTAGAGATATTTCTGTTTCTTGCCCTCTATCTCCCACATAAATTAACAACAGATTATGCACATAAGGTAAAATGTGAGCTCCTTATTTCTGTCGGCGATGGATTCAAGACAGAAGTGCATAACCCAAAAGTATGAATATATGAATATTGCTTGGTATTTTAGTAGTTTCCTAAAATGTCACTCTCCTATCCTTTCACATGAGGAGAAAAGGGCAGGCAAAGTATCAAATCATCTGAAGCATTTGCAGTTTTAAAGGGAAATAGGAAGGTCCGTATAGTTAAAGCTATGGTTTTCCCAGTAGTGATGTATGGAAGAAGAAGGCTTATCGCCGAAGAATTGATGCTTTTGAATTATGGTGTTGGAGGAGACTCTTGAGAGTCCCATGGACTGCAAGAAGATCAAACCTCTCCATTCTGAAGGAAATCAGCCCTGAGTGCTCACTGGAAGGACAGATCGTGAAGCTGAGGCTCCAATACTTTGGCCACCTCATGAGAAGAGAAGACTCCTTGGAAAAGACCCTGATGTTGGGAAAGATTGAGGGCACAAGGAGAAGGGGACGACAGAGGACGAGATGGTTGGACAGTGTTCTCGAAGCTACTAACATGAGTTTGACCAAACTGCGGGAGGCAGTGGAAGACAGGAGTGCCTGGCGTGCTCTGGTCCATGGGGTCACGAAGAGTCGGACACGACTAAACGACTAAACAACAACAAAGGAACTGATGGGAGGACTGACCAAAAAGTGTGTTGGGGTGTATTTCCTTAAAAACTTTCAGGAGCAATACCCACCCCCCACTTTGGAGTCCCCACCCACATTGCTCCAAAAGTGTGTGTGAATTTTTCTGTGTTTGCCCATTCAGAGTGAGGCCAGGAAGCTGGAGCCTTACCCTCAGTTGGCTTTGTTACGTTTTAATATGATCAAGATCCCACTATCACATTCAGCACAGGATCCCTGATGGTTTGAGATTCACTATTCTCACAAGAAGACACAGAGTTTTAGGTTGTGTGTGTGTTTTTTTTAAAGACACCCAATCAGCAACAGGTTTGAAGGCAACTGGCAGTGAACTAAGTGAGCAATCAGGGGGAGGTGTGTTTATGTGGGAAGAAAACATTTTGGACTTTCCCCATGTATACCTTTCACCTTAAAAATGGAACATGTGAATATTCAAATCAACCACGGGTGATGAGCTACCTCCCTCCCTGCCTGAATCTAACTGAATTTAGTTCTGGCAGCTTCCCATTAAAACCAAAGGAACACTGTACTCCATTGGTAATGTTGAGGCTGGACTACCATAAAGCACTCTATGTGGGGCTGCCCTTGGGACAGGTTTGGAAGCTCGAGTTGGTGCAGAATGTGGTAGCCAGGTTGCTGATGGGGTCACCTGGCCAACAACATGTAACACCATTGTTAAAGCATCTTGACTGACTGCCCATCTACTACCAAGCCCGGTTCAAGGTCCTTGTATTAATTTACATAGCCCCAAGCAACTTAGGTCCCAGGTGCCTCAGGGGTCACAGAAACCCTTATATCCCAGCTCAACCACAAATGTCATCTACTGGAATATTGTTGGTCATTCCCAAGTTGGCAAAGCTCATTTGACAACAGTAAGAAACTGAGCCTTTAGTGTCATCGACCTTCTTCTGTGGTTTATTCTGACAACACAGTTTCAGCAGGTGTCTTTTAAATGATGCTGACATTTTTTCCATTCTGCCAGGCTTATGCAGGCAACGAGAAATATATTTTTCCGCAATACTAATCCAGTTTTTTATTTTAACTTTCTGATATGCTTTTCTTGTGTCAGTTTATATACTGCTGTTGTGAACCACGTTGATATTTTTTTAATGAATTAATGCTATATAAATATTTCAGTAAATAAATAAATGAACAGAACAAGCTAGCTGTGACAAACTAGTCCAATCATCACCAGTGAGAATTTGGTTTCAGCCCTATGTATAGAAAGCTCACAACTTACACGGGGTTGCGTTCTAGGGAGTGCCAAAATCACATTATCACTCAAGCCAAAATCACATTATTGGGGTCAGTGATGGGCAAGATTGTCAAAGTCATTTTTCCTGGAGTCCAGCCCCTATCCACCCCTTTTTATTTTATTTTTTAACATTTTGTATTCTTTATTGGAAAATAAAAAGTACAAGATTACAAGTGCACAGAGTAAGGTAGGACACAAAAAACCCCTTTTAAATTTTTAACAACAACAACAACAAAAAAAGCCACATGCGTATGCACACAAGTTAAATACACATAAGTTGTGGGCTTACTATACTGGAAATTCATAGAGGAGGATAAGCCTATGATTGGCCATTAGACCATGATAGCTAAATGGGACACCAAGAGGGTATTGTTGGTTGCTGAGGGACAGGCAGTCAGCCAACACTGTTGCCTCCATGCTTTGTCTCTGGAGACATCTGCAAAAGAGGATGCTGGACTTAACGGACATTTGGTCTTACCCAGCTGGACTCGTCTTATGTTCTTATTCAGATTGCTGACTGCTCCAATTCTGCGTGTGCTTGTGTGTGCATAAGAGAGAGTTTTAAAATGTCCAAACCAGACGGTTCAGCAAAACGTGACAGAATTGCTATTTTCATAGGAATGCTATTTCCTCAGGCAAAGTGCCGACTACGGAAGTTCTATAATTTTGCCCGAGAATTACTGCTTTCGCCAACTCCGCAAGAATCCCCCTCCCCCCCTCTTGCCCAGCCTCGCTGTTGCGGCCTTTAGGAATGAGCAAATGAAGACATAACTGGACCTAAATATACTGCCTGAGTATACACACGTGCATGGAGACATATATACAAAATAAGACTTTCCTGGTTAAAGGCGGGCTAGTCCATTAATCAAGACATTTAATTAATTGGTTAAGTTGAAAGAAATGTGCCTAGCAGCAAAAGCTCTACTATAGATGCCCTCTTTGGAGGTACGGAAGCAAGTTCAAGGGAACGTTGCTATTTTAAAATTATTCTTCTTTATTGAAAAATAAAAAGTACAAAAGTACAAGTGCAGAGAGTAACATAAGACAGCAAAAAGAAGAAAGAAGAAATAGTATCCATGTAGAAAACAAAAGAGAACAACAACGAAAAACGGTATTGTAATGTGTACATTACAAAAAAGGGGGGTGTTATTGTAGTTAACCAGACCTTAACCTAATATGGTATTTATAAAAATGTATTCTTTCAGGGAAGAGCTAGAACGACCAGTTTCGTCAGTAGCAGCCGAAATCGAAGGAAGCCACGCCCCGAATCTGACTCGACAGGTTCAGACGCCTGATTTTGAACTGCAGCTGTTCCTTGTATATATGTAATAAAGACTGTAAATATCACGCTGTGTGTGCTGGAGTTTTACTGCGAAGAGGGAACGCCACCTTTACAAATTCCAAATACTGTATTCTTACATTTGTCCATGACAAGTCTACATTTGTACACAACTTGTTCGTGTGTAGCAAGTTTGTACATATCTTCAATCCAATCACTAAAGGGAGCAGCGTTTTTATTTTTCCAGTATCTATTATTATTTTTTAGGATTAACACTCATAAGGGAAAGGCGTTGGCTTTTCCCCCCATTGCTTGTTACAGTGATTGTGGCCCAGGTATCTCTTGTAATGATTGCCCAAGAGGACATCAGCCCCTCTGATGGAGATAGAATTACAAAAGGAATAGTCTTGGACAGAGAAGTTGGGGGAAATGGCAAATTTGCAATGCCAATGTTTCCTGTACCAAAAATGTGAGGGAAAATATATCCCAAACCTCACCAAAATGACCCCTCCATGAAACACTCTTAACGGGATAAAAAGGATGCTTTGAAGGACTATGCATGATGCCATAAGAAGATCTCTGCTGGACTGGACAGAAAGGCCTGTCTGCTTTATCATCCTCTTTCTCACATTTGCCAACGAGATACCTCTTGGGAATTCTATAAGCAGAGCATAAGCACAACAGCACTTTGCCACTGTTGTTCCCCAGAGACTGGTACTCAGAGGCATGTTGCCTCTGATCTAAGAGGTAGCATGCAGCTATTGGGTAAAGGTAAGGTAAAGGTAAAGGACCCCTGGACAGTTAAGTCCAGCCAAAGGTGACTATGGGGTTGCGGCGCTCATCTTGCTTTCGGGCTGAAAGAGCCGGTGTTTGTCCACAGACAGCTTTCTGGGTTGTGTGGCCGACAGGACTAAACCGCTTCTTGTGCAACGGAACACCGTGATGGAAGCCAGAGTGCACAGAAACGCCATTCACCTTCCTGCCGCAGTGGTACCTACTCATCTACTTGCACTGGTGTGCTTTCGAACTGCTAGGTTGGCAGAAGCTGGGACAGAGCAATGGGAGCTCACCACCGTTGAGTGGATTTGAACTGCCGACCTTCCGATCAGCAAGCACAAGATATTCAGTGGTTTAGACCACAGCACCACCCACCAATGGGATAAGAAGCATTTTGAGGGATGTGGAAAGAAATCCGATTCCAGCTTTTTATGTACACTTTAGCAACAGGATATGTACAAGAATGAATATACTAGAATAAAGAAGAATACCTGGAAAATTTGGGGAAGCGCAATTTTTGTTGGCAGCTTTTTGATCCAGACAGTAGAGCATGAGTCTCTTAATCTCAGGGTCGTGGGTTCAAGCCCCACATTGGGCAAAATGATCTTGCATTGCCTTGGGGTGGGCTAGATGACTCTCGGGCTCCCTTCCAACTCTACAGCTCTAGGATTCTATTATCCTGGGTAGCATACATTAAGCAGATTCACCTATAAATGTTAACTGAACCAAATTTCTCCTCTGTTCCTTAACTGTAGCTCAAGTGGGACAACATCTGCTTCGCATGCAGAAGGCCACAGGTTCAATTCCTGGCTTCTCCCAGTAGAACTGGGAGAGGACCCTGTCTCAAAACCCAGACAACCACTGCCAGCCAGTGTAGTCAGCATCAAGCTTGATGGACCAATGACCTGACAGCTTCCTATAAGGCAGCTTCCTATATTCCAGAAGTGCTCTTAGATACCAAGGAGGGGAAATAATCAACCACATGTAATTCACTCCCTTTTTGCTTAGGAAGCTCAATAATTCAGCCAGATGCTCTCTGCAAAACACTGCAGGAAAGCTGTCTGCATGAGATTGTTTGAAGCTAAAGGAACAGTTAAGCTGCCCAATTGATTTGGGCATGTGTGTGTGTGTGTGTGCTGTCAATGGAGGGGGCAGAATTAAAATGTTACACACTCTGGGAGTAGCTAAACCTGCTAAATATTAGATGACTGTCTTGGACATTAATAAATGGGGGTGGCATGGGGGGGTGCTCCTCCGCAATCCACACACCCAAATCCAAAATGACAAAATTGCACTTGGACAGATGTAGCTTGCAGGCAATACAGGGGAAGTGGGTGGTAGTAGGGAGAGTTGAGCCAATTGTGAGACTCAGTGCTTTGTTGACTATAAAGGTTGAAGAACACCTGAGGTCCCAGTAGTCATTAAGAGAGAAAAGAGCAGAACAAAGCAAGTTGCTGTAGGAAGGGGGACAGGGGGAGAGAAAAGAATAAAATGGATGCTGTGCCTCTGCTCTAGATCTCTATTTGATGGATGCACAGGTTGTTTTCCCCCCTCTTTAGCTGTGGGATTGAATTACAGCTGGAATGAGCAGACTGGCTGGATGGAAATGGGGACTGGGGGTGCTGCTCTGTTAGACCAGAAGGGTCTCCAGCTGTGGTTGCTGGTGCTACAGTGGGAGAAGTGAGTTGGCCAGGCCCCCTCCATTGACCAGCATTAGGGTCAACTGCTCTTTGGTGTGTCCCCTCCTGATAAAATGCAAGGCAGGCTGATATATGTCCCAGTGCCAGTGGGTATAATGCAGGCATCAGCACCTATGGACCCTTCTGGGTTGCTTGGTCCCCAGATGTTCCTTGAAGCTGCTCAGTGCTGGCACTGGCCTTTATTCCCATCGCCTCTGAACAGCCAGGATGGTGGAGCTTACAAGTGCTTTTGCCGTATGCACGGGCATGGAATCGTGATATGGAAGAACAGGGAGCTATATAAAAACTTTGGCTTGCATGTAACTAGGTTCTACTCAAAATATACGCACTGAAATTTATTGGAACTAATGGACTTAATCATGCCAAGGTGTCTACTCTGTTTAGAACTGAATTGGATACTGTTGTGGGCTTCGATTCACAGGGCCTAATGCAGGAGGAGGAGGAAGAAGAAACAGCTGGGAACTGAATTGTGGAAACCTGGTTGGGAAATGGGGATCTCCTTCTTCTGCCCTGACTTCAGTCACTTTGAAAGCGGAGGCAGAGTGGCCTTTCTGCAGAGTGGAGAACTTCAGCGGAGGCTGGAGAAGGCCTTGATCAGCTGAGGGGGGAGGATGAACAGGAAATGTCAGTGACTGAACAGGAAACTGGGCAGAAGGGTGCAGTCTTGTCATCTAGAACCTGGTGCCAACTTTGCAAGTAGAAGCAGACCCACCTGCCCTGGTGGAGTCCACACTTGCAATCTCAACATTTCTATAAGGTGAGTGAGTCTCACGTGTTAAGTGCTCCATCTTTAACAGCTTGGTGCGAGAGGTGGGGAAACTTGTTAGGACATCTTTGGCACTTGTTCAGTTCTGAACTTCTTGCACTACTCCTGAACCATGCCTACTGAGCCTGTACTGTTCCTTGCCTGAATAAAGCTCTCTTTCTTACTTCTAAGTAAGAGCCTCTGTCTGTGTGTGCTGGACAGGATCCAGGACAGATACAACTCATGTGTGTGGGGGGGAGTATGCCATACTTTAGTCCAGGGCAGCCCGTGTGTTGCCTTCCAGATGTTGTTGGACTATTGCTGTCATCATCCCTGACCATTGGGCATGCTGACTGGGGCTGATGGGAATTAGAGTCCAACAATATCTGGAGAGCACTGTGTTGACACTCCATCCATTAGAAATAATCTCTGGATCTCCTTCAATTACCCTGCTTTAATCGTAACATCTGAGTAGCTAGAAGGTGGGTTTCCTGCAGGTGCTTACAGATACAGTGTGGTATTTATTTGACATTAATCTGTTGTTACCAGATGTCCCCATTTCCCAGGGACAGCCCTCAGATTTACAAATCTGCCCCTGGACAAAACCCGTCCCTGGAATGTCCCCAGTTTTCATTTAATGTCCCCGGATTTATATTTTAAGTGTTGTAGATTTATTACTAGGGAATGAATGTTGCGTGATTGGTTCAACGGAATAAGACACATCATATGGGGACTTCCGGCGAGACAAAATGGTGAGCGCCATGGCAGAGAGCAGCTTCTGAAGCCAGCCAGAACCAACTGCGCTACCAGGCTGGCTCCAGGCTGCTGAGACTGCTGCAGCCATGGCCACTGCCAAGGGGGAACCAGGGACGCCTGGCGAGTCAACTGGGGGAACCGCTGATCCTGCCCCCCGCGACCCAAATCGAGCTGGGAGTGAGAACGCCCGGCCACCTGGCCGACTGCCCAGCGTAACTCTGGGGCCAGTAAAACCCCACGAGCCGACTCAGGGAGAAGGAGGAGAGGAGAAGGAGAAGAAAAAGAGAGAAAGGGGAAGGAGGAAAAAAGAGGGGAGCCCCAACCTTACTGCGCTGCTGCTGAGGAGGAGGAGAGGTAGGAAAGCACTGGGAGAGCAAGGACACATGGCTTAGGCCTGGCCCAACCCGAGCCTACCCCATGGCGGCTAGCGCTCCAAGAGAGCAAGCTGGGGCCCAGAGGAAGGCCGCGTGACAGAGGAGACCACACAAGAGATTACTTCTTATTTTTATTTTTTTAATTTAATAACTTTTTTTCCTCTTTTTTTTTTTAAAAAAAGTGTCCCCAGATTCTTTGAAAAAAATCTGGTAACCTTACATTAATCATGGTGAGTGTTGAATCCAGTGGGGTTCTGTTTTCCACACTGACTGATATAGATTGCTAGGATGTCCTCTTCTGAATAAGGTGTAAGACAGGGGTGGGGACATTCCCTCAGGGGCAATTTTCTGGGGGCCACATCACAGCACTTGGTGGGGCCACACACGCACACCACTCACCACCCATCCATTCATATTGGGAAGCAAGAAGTATTACCACAATTCAAGGACACAGGCTGGTCATGTCCTGCCAAAATCTCAGGGAAGGTATCAGCTGTCTCCCAGATGCACTGTAAAGCAAGCAGCTAGTGGTGTTTTACTTAAACGTTACCACAAAGTATGTAAGTGTCCTGGGTTCATGGTGGGTTTTTTTTGGGGGGGGGGGCGCGGGGGTATACTAAGATCTCTTTATTATTTCAATTACCCTTTTATGCAATTCTAAGTGCAAATTATTCACACCGGGTCCTACACAGCTGATAGAAAAGTTGTCTTTTGAATCAGCATGTAATTTCCATTCTCACAAATCACAGAATTAAGCAGCAGAATGGCCCACCCAAGCTAAGGCCAATTTACAAATGAATTCCTACAATTTCTTTTACTTCTTAACACCCTGAGATTTCCATGCACATACAAAGAACCCATATTATTGCCAAATAAGACTGTGCTAACAGCTTGCATTAAGGCAGGGATAAATTCCCTTCTACGATTGTGTTGAAGACTTATACAAACTCGCAACATATGAACAACTTACATATAAACGCAGACTTGCCATGGACAAATTCATTGATATTTGGAATCCATTTTTACAAATACTGTAATAGTTAAGATCTGGTGAAGTACAAGAACAGCTTTGTAAAGTATACAGTTTTGGGGTTTTCCCCTCTCCCCTTTATTTCCCCTTCTACATGGGTGCTATTTCTCTTTTTCTTTCTCTCTCTTTTTATTTATTTATCATGTTTAGTGCACATATATACTTATGCACTTTTTGAACTTTCAGTAAAGATGTCTCGGGGGGGGGCAGGGATAAGCCCTACTAGTTGCCAGGAATATTTGAAGATTCAGAAAATACGAAATTTTGTGACACTCTCTTGAGGGCCTTCTCGGTGGTGGCACCCACCCTGTGGAACGCCCTTCCATCAGATGTCAAGGAAATAAACAACTATCTGACTTTTAGAAGACATCTGAAGACAGCCCTGTTTTGGGAAGTTTTTAATGTCTGATGTTTTATTCTGTTTAATATTCTGTTGGGAGCTGCCCAGAGTAGATGGGGAAGGCCAGCCAGATGGGTGGGGTATAAATAATAATATGTGTTGTTGTTGTTGTTGTTGTTGTTGTTAGAATGTCTGTATTAAAAAAGATGCCCTATTTCTGTAAACCTGTGTTCTCTTGGGGAATCGCTGCCTCTCTTTCTGTGTGTGTGTGTGTGAAGAGATGGACAATAGTGACCATAACTGCATACAACATTCTGAATTTTATTTCATTACACTAGAGTTTTTTGCAGTGGAGAGCAATCAAGGCACTGCCCCACTAACCTCAATCCACCTTCGATCAGACACCACATGACTTCCTTCCTTCTTACAATCACTCTGGGGGAGGAACTGGCTGTCAGCTTCCTCAGTCATAGGTCACGTTCACACCATATATGTACCACAGTATAATGTCATTCTCAACAGTCACTTTCCCCCAAAGAACTCTGGGAGCTGTAGCTTGTTAAGAGTGCCGATAGTTTCTAGGTTAACCCCTATTCCCCTCATGGAGCTACAACTGCCAGAGTGGTTTGGTAATCAGTTCCTCTTCCCAGGGAACCCTGGGAATTATGGATCCATGAGGGGAGTTGTTGGCATGCGACCAAGGAAACAGGGGCAATTGGCAGGCCCCCAGTGGGCTCCAGCCCACCAGCCGGTGGGCCGGGCGATCTCCAGTCCTTGGTGTGGCATCAGCGACCTGAGCTTCAGAAGCTAGGGCACGCTACTCAGCAGAGTAAACGCCACGCAACTGAAGTGGCAGGAGAAGTTGTGTGAGCATATTTACAAGCAGTTTATTCAGCATACATCAGGACAAAAGGAAAACATGTCCCATCTCCTTTGTGTCCAAAGCGAGACAGCAAAAGCTATACACAAACGGAAGTTCCCAGCAAGCTGTGCTGGAGTGTAAACAGGCATGTGACACACAACAATCATGCCTGTTCCTTAAGGTGGAACGGAATATCCCAACAGGAGTATGGGGTCTTCTAACCATTCTCAGCACCCTTAACAAACTACAGTTCCCAGGATTCATTTTTTTGAGGAGGAGCCATGACTGTGGTATGATACTGCTTTAAATGGATCATGCAGATGAGGCCATTGTTGGCTTATCGAGCCTTTCTTCCCTCTTTCACCTTGCACCTACTAAGGATTCACGACTTGGGAAGTCGTCCAAAGCTCAGAGCCTTTCCTTAAAATAATAATAATAAAAAGAATGCTAAAATGTTTAACCTTCCTGTCTTTGGTTGCATGATTCTGTCTTAAAATTCATGTTGTCTGGTTGAAGTAGTTCACTAAAAGCGGGGCGAGGGGAGACAGAGAATTACATTAACAACATGACACACCAGCATGCAGACACAGGGGAAAAACCACCATGATTCTATTGTAATTGTATTATGGAGTGGGATGGCAAAGCTCTTTGGAGTGTTTCCTGAGGAAGGAATGCAAATAGCTAGAAAAGGAAGACTGGGGAAAGGGAGGGAGGGAGAGAGGGAGAAGGCAAATAAAGGCTGTTGAAAATGTATGAAGCTTGTCATTTGTACAAGCATTAATATTTAATTTTCCCTTTTCACAGGCCATTACCTCTCGAATTTGCAAGATGCCAGCTCGCTCCAAGTCTGGAGGAAGCCTAGGTTGGGTTCTGACAGCCCTGATGTTCCCTCAGATTTCAGGGCCATGCAAGCAGTGTATTAAAAGCTATATTCCAGCTGAGAAACTAGTTCAGAGTAAGAAAAGAAGACCTGGGAAGTTTGATTCAGGGATAGCTACTTCATGGCTTTTTCACTGTCTGGGGGTAGGGCCAGCTTAATGTATTATTCTGCCCGAGGGTGAAGGAGAAGATGGTGTCCTTCCACCATTCCACATAGAGAAGACCAAGGCCACATTCAGACCACACACTGAAAGTGTGATGTTAACACTTTAAACAGTCATGGCTTCCCCAAAAGAATTCTTGGAGAGTTGTTACGAGGCTCCAATTCCCCTCTCAGAGCTATTATTTCCAGAGTTCTCTGGGAAGAGGGATTGATGGTTAAAACCACTCTGGAAATCATAGCTCTTTGAGGGTAATAGAGGTCTCCTGGAGGCTGCAGGAGCACCAGATGGGGAGCTGGGTCATCTTGAGGGCACAGAGCTGACTGCCGAAGATAGGGAGATCATTGCACATGAGGCTGATGGACAGGAGCCACCTGAGGCATCTCTCAGGCCACGAGAGCCTGTAGACACAGAGCTGGGACCCTCAGGGACATCGTTCATGCCTCCCACTGCTCAACACTCCTCTGGTGGTGCAGGGAGAGCACCAAGAGGGAAGTAGTGGTCCCAGTCTGCTCCCAACTTTTGTTGGAGCAAGTCTGTGTCTTGGAACTCTCCATGCCTGGAAGCCAAGCCTTAACTCCAGCTTTGCCACTTCTCCATGGGACTTGGCATCAGACCAGGCCAGCTTAAGAATTGCAGGGCAAGCCATGAAGCCCACAGAGATCTGTCCCCCAACACCTTGATGCATCTCTTCCCCCTGCCCCCCAGCATTTGATGCCTCCCTCTACCTAGATCTTCTTGGCCTACAACTCCAATGATCCCTAGCTAACAGGACCAGTGGTCAGGGATGATGAGAACTGTAGTCCCAAAACATCTGGAGGGCTGAGTTTGCCTATGTCTGTAATAGTAGGACTAGCTCTGGAGAGAGAGTACACTGTTGCCATTTACTCACTTAGAAACATTATTATTTTTTCATTGTTTTTTCATTTTTATTGATTTTATTTTATTAATTTTAGTCTGCCTGTCTCCTTGATATCCTTCTTCCAGCAGGTTAAGAACTTCCTATTTGGAGAGTCCTTTGAAAACTAAGGTGCAGATGATGCTGATCACAGGTTATATGGAATAGTGGATAGATGGCAGTGCTCCCTGGTATTTTGATATTATATATGCTTTTTAAATATTTTTTTAAGGGGAAGCTCTTATTCTTGGTTCCACATAGACATATTCTGGAAGAAGTCTATAGAATCAGGAAAGAGGTGAGGTGAGGTCCCACCCCACCCCCCCGCCAACAATCTTGAGCCGCTCAAAGGAAAGAGACAATTTGCACATTGAAGACGCACTAAGCTAGAGCTATGTGCAATTGCTCTGGCAATAAGGAAACTGATTTCCCTAATGGTTTATCTTTTCAGTGTTCAAAGATGGAGCTGGCAGCAACACAGAACAAAATCTACAACTCATTTCTTTGTATGGGTACAAAAAAGATTTTTTTTTAGGTGGGAGAAGGAGGGAGAACGAGAGATGGTATGAATTTTCATTCTGCTATTGTTGAGCAGGCTGTATGATGTGTGTGCAATGGGCTCTGCTGCTGATCGCTTCAGGTATTTGCAAACCAAATTTTTAGTGATTGGTTTTGTCCAGTTGAGGGGGGGGGAGTGAAAACCATCTACCTAATAAGCCAGTCCTCCCCTGCCCCCAGCCTTCATGGATCCCTTCCTTCCCTGGCTTTGATTTACGGGCAACTGTTTTGATGAACGGCAAAGAGAGCTGGAAAATCTTCTTCCAAGCCAATTTTCACATTTTATGGGGTTCTGTGGAGGAGGTGGCTGCCACAGGGAGATAAGGATTCTAATTTTGTAATTGAGTACACTCTGAAAAGACAATTAAGGAACTAATGTGATAAGTGATTGTAAATTATAACAGCAGGGAGAAATCCGATTCACAGTCCTTCATGAAAAATGGTGGCAGTGCACTTCAGCAGTGCATCCTCACTTTATTTCCCCAAATGTAGGTATTGCTTATTAAAAGATAAGCATTCTTCTTTGGATTGAAGGGCAAAAACTACTTCCCAACCCAGAACCACACACACACACCAGTTAGGGAGTTGGATAGAAGTTGTAGTCTCCAGAAGTGCTTGGACTACAAGTCCCATCATCCCTGACCATTGGCCATCTTGGCTGAGGCCAATGGGAGTTGAAGTCCAACAACATCAGGAGGGATACTGGTTGCCATACTTGTATTATAATTTTGCTTGGATCTCTGGAAAGAACTCCTGCCCAGAGTTAGAGGAAGCATAAGAGGTGTTATGGAAGGAAGGGAGTGAAAGGTCTTCCCCACTTCCATTATAGATCATCTTGAAGTAGCAAATTCTATAAGTCAACTTGGTGCTGTTTGAAGTATGTACTTCCTGAGTCTGCTATGGATATTTCCCACCAGCATAAGCTCAGGGTAGGGATTTGCATGAAAACATACATATTCAGAGAAAAAGTCAGGGCGGCCTTTAAAATAAAAAGCAAAGTGATGTGGAAATGTAGAGAATCAAACTTCAGATTGAGAAAATGTGAGAAACAAAAACTGGTAGATTCACCCATCACTAACTCAGGGTTCTAGTATTCTGTGAGGTGGATAAAAGCTCTATCCGCTTCCTCCACACAATGGCTAATTGTATACACCTTTATCATGCCCCCATTCTCCTCCCACCATTCGCTTCCCAAAACTAAAAATCCCCATATGAGGTAACCTTTCATTTTCAGGGGAGTTGCTCCAGCTCCCCTTCCCCAGCCCAATAATTTTGGCTGTCCTTTTCTGAACATTTGAGTACACAGAAAGAGTATTTTATTCCATACACCCCCATATACAGCTTTTAAATTGAACCTGACTTCTGTTGTCCCAGGTTTCCGTTTCTAGTTTCTGATTCGTCATTTTTCAATGATTGTGATTGATGCTGTTTTCAGCATTGTTTTGCTGGAGTATTTATTGGCTCTTTGCTTTGTTAGCCATCTCAGTTTTTATATGTGTGTGCTCGCGTGTATGTATTTATAGTTATAAAATCATCAATCAGCATTCTATGTAAGCTTCCTCCGGATCATTTTAGGATCTGATTAATTGCTAAAATAATAGACATTATTATGAGTTTGGAGGAGTTAAACTGATTGCCAGACCCCTCTAATTCATGGATCCAACAAGTATTAGAATTTAAGCATGGCTTCTAATTCTTGGAATAGCTGGCTAGCCTGGTGACATGATAGCCTGGGAGATAGCCTGAGCCTAATTATGGTGGATAAAGGGTCTCGATGCAATGCAGCAAGTGGGCGTGGCTCCTTCCTTCAAGTCAGAGTTTAGAGTGGAGAGTTTTAGGGGTGTGATGTGACCTAGAAGGAAAGCAGACAGCTGGAGAGAGAGCAATGGTTGATTTCTGTTTGAATCCAAGGCTGTAACTATGGGAGAAACAAGACCCTTTGGGATGTTGATGCTGAACTCCTCCATCACAGGAGCGGGTTGTACATATGTGTAAATAAACCATATATCCCAAAGACACCACAGTCTCCACAGTGCCTCATTCCAAAAAGGAACATGAACCCTGGGTAAATGCCTGGAATTTCACACTGCTTGGAGATTGTGGTAACTGAGGTCCAGCTCCGAGGGCCTTCTGGCGGTTCCCTCACAGTAAGAAGTGAGGTTACAGGGAACCAGGCAGAGGGCCTTCTCGGTAGTGGCGCCCGCCCTGTGGAACACTCTCATCAGATGTCAAGGAGATAAGTAACTAAACAACCTTTAGAAGACATCTGAAGGCAGCCCTATTTAGGGAAGTTTTAAATGTTTGTTTTTAATATTCTTTTGGGAGCTGCCCAGAGTGGCTGGGGAGACCCAGCCAGATGGGCGGAGAATGAATAAATGAATGAATAAATAAATAAATAAATAAATAAATAAATAATTTCAACAATAGGTTACTGTGATAAATAAAAGAATATTGTTTTCTTTGTTGGGGCATGTGCAGAGTGCCCATTCAACACACCCATGGATTGTGCAAATGGGGGGGGGGACCCAGGATGTGGTTGGCAAAGAAAAACACCAGACCATTCCTTAACTGACAGATAGTCCAAAGTTTCTCATCTTAGTAGTTACATACAGTTGTAGCATAAAGTAACCCTACTTCAGTCTGTTGTTAATACCCAATAGGTAGCCTACAGAAAAAGTAATAAAAGGTGTTTGCAGCGACATGTCTTCCTTACAGCATTCCAACGCAGATTAAGTTTCTAGCCAAGGTCAGGGTCCAAGGCAAACTTGCTACAAACACAAGGGTATTTATATTGTGCTGAGTCACACTATGACTCATTCTCACAAGTTTGCTGACTCACACTTAACTACCTGCAAATGCAGTGTAAGTACACCTAAATTAACCCTTTCTTGTCCTTTTTATTTGCATGCATAAACCCACATACACTGTTGTAAGACAAAAAAAAAAAAAACCTGCTCTCTTTCCCTTACATTGTTGTAAGACAAAAAAACCTGCTCTCTTTCTCTTATGGGGTATCTAAGAGCTCGTATAGAGTCCTCTTATAGATTATCTGTTAGTAGGAGAAAATAACAGAGGCCAACCAGAGAATATTGAGAAGCAAAACAGCTAGTAAGCATGATCTTTATTAAACTGTTGCAACAGGGTCCCCCACTCCCCCACACAGGGAAGGAGGAGAGGAACCCAAAGCACTGGTGTGCAAACTCTTATATAGACTTTTGAAATTGCCTACCCTGTACCCTTGCCGACAAAGGTCTGTATAGTTAAAGCTATGCTTCTCCCAGTAGTGATGTATGGAAGTGAGAGCTGGACCATAAAGAAGGCTGATCACCAAAGAATTGATGCTTTTGAATTCTGGTGCTGGAGGAGACTCTTGAGAGTCCCACGGACTGCAAGAAGATCAAACCTATCCATTCTGAAGGAAATCAGCCCTGAGTGCTCACGGGAAGGACAGATCCTGAAGCTGAGGCTCCAATACTTTGGCCACCTCCTGAGAAGAGAAGACTCCCTGGAAAAGACCCTGATGTTGGGAAAGATGGAGGGCACAAGGAGAAGGGGACTACAGAGGATGAGATGGTTGGACAGTGTTCTCGAAGCTACCGGCATGAGTTTGACCCAACTGCGGAAGGCAGTGGAAGACAGGAGTGCCTGGCATGCTCTGGTCCATGGGGTCACGAAGAATCGGACACGACTAAACGACTAAACAACAACAACATGTATCTATGCAGTGCTAATTATAGTTTGCAAACCACCATTATGCCTCCAAGATGCCAGATGTCTCTCCTAACCTGATGCATTTCACAGTGCCAACGTGGAACAATCTCAAGGACATCAGACAGCACCGATCCTCTCCCTTCACAATGAATTCTGCCCTTAGCCTACATTTGCAACTGATCCAACACTGCTTCAGGAATTCAGCTTTATTGTGGCCATACTGCTGTGTAGGGTTCAGGGTGTTGGGCTAAGACCTGGGAAACCAGGATTGAAATCCCCAGTCAGCCATGAAGCTCACTGGGTGACCTTCAGCCAGACTCTCAGCCTAACCTACTTTATAGGGCTCTTGTGGGGATAAAACTGGGAAATGGAGAACTGGGTACACCATTTTGTTCTCTTTGGAGGAAGCTGGGATTTAAAAGCAATGAATAAGTAGCTAGATAAATGTACGGTAACCTGCACAGGAACACCATTTGCTGAATTTCACCCTCTGTACAATATCCAGAATGCTTAGGCATTCTGGGATAAATTACTTTACAGGAAATGCCATTTCTTCCCAACTGTATAACCTGGTGGTTTGTCATCTGTCAGCAGAACTCTGGATATTTATGACAGCGCTTGGGATTCTGTTTGGATCTCTCCACGCTGGCGGCCTCAGAAGGTACAATGCAATAACTTCTGTAACTACTCATCCATTTCCTGCTTAAGGCTATTTTTGAACAATGCTCCTTTTATGGTGGGCACTAAAGGCTCTGTGTACTAGCAGTTTGCACCAGAGTTGCAGTTTTATTGACAAGTAACGAGGCGGGAGAAAAGTGCTGATATACACACTTATGGGAGCTTTAGCGCCTGTTAAATTGGCAAGGCCATTTCTGCAGAGGTTTGGGTACTTCTGATTGGGGGAGATGGAAAGGAGTCAATGACTTAGACCTGTCGGAACCAAACTACTCATGCTTTTCAGCCACACACACACACACACACACACACCTAGTGCTGACCCTACAAGCAATTCAAGATGTGCAGGGCCAGAAAAAGGTAAGTGGGAGGTTTAATAGTTTTGTTGCTCATCATGAACAACCGGGGTGTGTGTGTGTGTGAGGACGACAGGTTGAAGACTGAAAGGAAAAGATTTAAAAGGGCAGAGAGTGCCTTTTAAGAGAAACAATTACATTGACAATCCATGCAGAGGGCTCCCCTTTTTTGAAACTCAAACTGTTGTTGAAAGCTGCCTCATGCAACCCTGCAATCATATGAGGTCAAGAACATGGAAACAGTGGCTGTTCCGCAGAGAAGGTATGATTACATCCTGTTGAGTTTGCAAAGAGTTTCTGAGGCTGTAAGGAAGAAGATGCCGTTTTAACTACTAGCACCAACAAGCGGAAGATCACACACACACACACACACACACACACACACATGCAGCAGCAGCAGCAAATAGCAACTAGTTCAGAGATATAAAGACTGGCTTGCAAATTCATTTCCGTTCATAGAATTTATAACCCTCCTTGTGATTAACCTTGTTGGTTTTTAATGTGGCAAAGGAGTTCAGCTCCCACTTTCAGCAGCCGCTCTGATAAAAATGTAATGAACTTCTGGATGGTGGACGCATGAACAATCTGCAGTATAGGATCAGTTTTGCAAAGATTCAGCCGATGAAGCCATTCTGAGCATTCCATCCCCAAAGTCCTAGAACTGCCCCTGTGGAAACACCATTGTTTCAGTTTTATCAGAGCAGCTGAAGAAGCAGTGGTACAAACAGAAACCTAACATCTGGAACACCTTGCCATGTAAAAAATGTTTGTGTATGTTATAGGAATTCTAAGGTCATATATATATATATATTTCATAAATGTACAAGGCAAACACATACTTAAGTATATAAACTATGTGTCTGAAATAGTACAGGAGAACAATTCTGCAGCCATTTTGACTCTCCCAAATTGACCTCAAATATTTCTCTGCAAGGAGGAAGGATATGGGAAAAGCTTTCCAATTGTCTTTGGACCATAGGGGCTTACACCTCCCTGCAAATACAGTCTGAGAAGTATCTGCTAAGCTGAGCACACTATCAATATGCGTAAGAGATTCAGGATCTAAGTATTTACCATCTCAAAGGAATGGCCAGGCTACCCAGAAAAGGCATTCAGATAAGGCATTATCAGGTATCCTGGCAAACAGGAGAGAAGCAACACACTCAAATTTCTGCTGGGGACCACCTCTTTCTGTGATGTGTGTATGATGTTTTGGGGGGTGGCCTTGAGCTACAGGGTTCTTAGAATTGGGAAGGGGGAAAGCACATAACTAGACCACAGAGGCACAACAATGCAACAATAAACAGCTATTCATAACCCTGAACCATTCTCTGCCTCCATCCGAACTATGAATTTAAATCGGTATCATACCACTCAACACAGTTGTGGTTCCCCCCGAATAATCACAGGAAGGGTAGTTTGTTAAGGGTGTTGAGACCCCTATTTTCCTCACAAAACCACAGTTCCCAGAGTTACCTGGGAAGAGGGGTTGAATACCAGTTGCCAGAAACTGCAAGAGCTGAGAGTGCTCTAGTGCTGGCGTCTTGCTTGCGGGGTTTGCACAGGCATGTAGTTGGCCATTGCGAGAACAGGATGCTGGACTAGATCGGCTATTGGCATAAGCCAATATTTCCAGGCAATGACAAACCTAGACAGCATCTTAAAAAGCAGAGACATCACCTTGCCAACAAAGGTCCGTATAGTTAAGGCTATGCTTCTCCCAGTAGTGATGTATGGAAGTGAGAGCTGGACCATAAAGAAGGCTGATCACCAAAGAATTGATGCTTTTGAATTCTGGTGCTGGAGGAGACTCTTGAGAGTCCCATGGACTGCAAGAAGATCAAACCTATCCATTCATAAGGAAATCAGCCCTGAGTGCTCACTGGAAGGACAGATCCTGAAGCTGAGGCTCCAATACTTTGGCCACCTCATGAGAAGAGAAGACTCCCTGGAAAAGACCCTGCTGTTGGGAAAGAAGGGGACGACAGAGGATGAGATGGTTGGACGGTGTTCTCGAAGCTACAAGCATGAGTTTGACCAAACTGCTGGAGACAGTGGAAGACAGGAGTGCCTGGCGTGCTCTGGTCCATGGGATCACGAAGAGTTGGACACGACTAAACAACTAAACAATCACAACAACAATATTTCCAATGGGTCATTATTTTCCATTGGTCTACTCTTAATAAGACTAGCACTAGCTGCAAGCTTTGAGGTTTGTCGAAACCCCCAAATGGAACTCAATAATTGGTTACGTTTTCAAGATTCAAACTTAGAACCAATCAGCTTGTTTCAACTCTCACTTTAAAGAATTAACGAACAAAAAACCCTCCAGAATTGATGGCAAGTCAACTTTCTGCAGGAATCCCCACTTTGTTCCTGGCAGAGAAATTACTCTGGTTATGGATTCACTGTTTATTAGACAATAGCACCGCTGTTTTTCTGAGAAGGTAAAACCCTCCTGGCATCCCCTCCACCCCACAGTCTCTCTCCTATGATGTTCGTCATGTCCAGAATCTTTTGCTGGAAGTCAAAATAGAAAAGAAAAACCTGTGGTGTGAGATGAAACTGCATTATTTTAAATGCTTCAAGGTCTGAAGAGAACTCACTGAATGTGGTCTCTGAGTGTGTATTTTAAAGAAATAGCTAAGGGTCAGCAGGGTCCCTTTATTCCATTTTCTCTCTCCACCTTGGTTCTTAAGCACATCAGCTTGGCCTAATTACACCGAAACTTGCATTCTCCTCTCTGCAAGAATAATTGCTGGAGACTTATCGGTGAGGAGTTGAAGCAGTGCAAATTACCTTCCGCTTTCCAGATGTCTTTGATGTGCTGTTTGTATGGGGTTTGGGGCTTGCTATGGAGATGCGGTGCTGAGCATAGTGCACAGACATAAAGTCCCTGCTGCGGAAAACGTGATGGCAGACTTGTTTGGAGACTGACACCCAATCCTTTAGAACTGAACTCAACAGTATAGCGATCTCTCCTATTCTCTCTCTCTCTCTCTTATACATGCACACACACACACACACACACACACACACGCACACACATGCACACATGCATAAATAGAACCCCATCATCTATATGTTCATTATAAGAACATAAGAAGAACCTGCTGGATCAGGCCAATGGCTCATCTAGCCTAGCATCCTTTCCCCACACTGACCAATTAGATGCCCCATTGAGAAGGCCGCAAGTAGGACAAGAGCATTTTCCTCTTCTGTGGTTTCCAGCAGCTGGTATTCAAAAGCATTACTGTCTCCAGCCATGGAGGTAGAGCACGGTCATTGTGGCTAATAGTCACTGACAGCTACTCAAACAGTAAGTCCTCTTGAATACAGTGGGGTTTACTCCCAGGTAAATGGAGTTGGATTCTTTTATTTTATCTATCTATCTATCAAAGGGACGCAGGTGACGCTGTGGGTTAAACCACAGAGCCTAGGACTTGCCGATCAGAAGGTCAGCTGTTTGAATCCCCATGACGGGGTGAGCTCCCGTTGCTCGGTCCCTGCTCCTGCCAACCTAGCAGTTCGAAAGCACGTCAAAGTGCAAGTAGATAAATAGGTACTGCTCCGGCGGGAAGGTAAACGGCGTTTCCGTGTGCTGCTCTGGTTTGCCAGAAGTGGCTTAGTCATGCTGGCCACATGACCCAGAAGCTGTACGTCAGCTCCCTTGGCGAGATGAGCGCCGCAACCCCAGAATCGTCCACAACTGGACCTAATGGTCAGGGGTCCCTTTACCTTTTTATCTATCTATCTATCTATCTATCTATCTATCATGTACAGCAGGGGTGGCCAACTCCCAAGAGACTGTGATCTACTCACAGAATTAAAAACTGGCAGTGATCTACCCCCTTTTCGGGGGTTCAGGTCAAAGTTGTTGAGCTATTTTTAGGGAGGAGGAAAGCCCTGATTTTTTTAGAATTCAAGCCTAAGCTCAAGGGAGAAAGGGGAGCAGCCACTTACCAACAGATCGCTGGGGAAACAAACTGCCTCACTGAGTAAACTCCGTTTTCCGTTCTGCAGATCGTGCAACAATGGAGGGCAGAGCGAGGAGTTCAGGGCCGGATTCTATTTTACCAACACTAAGGAAAGGGACCCATCGACCGACCGTGATCTACCAAAACCTGCCAGGGATCTACCAGTAGATTGCGATCGACCTGTTGGACATCCCTGGTGCACAGAATACAAAAACAGCAACAAACAACCAAAACTAATTTTACAAAAATAAACATTTAAAAAACATTGCAATAATACAAACATACTCATCCACTTAAACCACTGTCAGTTCTTTTTCCTTCCCTACTCAGCCTCTTGACTCTCACTCAGGGCTGAAACAAACATACGCAGAGTTCCCTGTGAAGAGGGATTGATTGTTAAATTACTCTGGGAATTGTAGTTCCGGTCGGGGAATAGGCACCTCTGAACAATTCTCAGCACCTTTAACAAAGTACAGTTCACATAATTCTTTTGGGGAAGCCATGACTGTTTAATGTGGCATCAAGGTGTTTTAAAGGAATGCGACCCTAAATTAGTCATGTTAATAAATTTCAAAGGGTCTGTTCTGCATAGGAGTAGGATTGACCACATCTCACTCGCTCGTTCTCCATCAGCGCATGCCACTGCTGAAACCCTGTAACTTTTTATACCACGAATGTTATAATAATAATAATAATAATAATAATAATAATAATAATAAACATTATTTATACCCCGCCCTCCCAGCCAAGACCGGGCTCAGGGCGGCTAACACCAGATATAAAACAATTGATTGAAATACAACTTAAAAAACAAGATTAAAATACAACATTAAAATGCAGCCTTATTTCAGCAGAAACTCAAAAACTTTTGGGGATGAAAATGTCAAGTCTTCACCAAGGCTAACTATGTTCTGTGGTTCTTTTTCTCCTGCTCCTGTTGCACTATAGCTCACAGATACCCAGGGCTGTCTCAAGACCTTTTGGAAACTAAGGCAAACCACAAAATGGCTCCGCACCAGGGAAGAAGGGGTACGTGAAGATCTACATCAGGAACCAGAGGGGAATAAAGGGCTACATTGGGATCTGTTGCCCCTGTGGATCCTGCTGCCTGAGGCAGACACCCCATCTTGCCTCATGGGTGGGCCGGCCCTGCAAGTACCCATCCAATCAGTAACATCGGATCCTTAAAGTGTCCGTATTTCCCAGAGACAGTCCTGGATTTACAGAAGCCATCCCAGTTTCTCTTTTGATCCTGGAATGTCCTGCTTATCCGTAAGACACCCTTATTTTCATAGGTGAAAAGTTGGAGGGTATGGAGTTATGCAACCCCCAAGCCAAGGAGATAAGCAACTGTACAACCATTAGAAGACACCTGAAGGCAGCCTTGTATTGGGAAGTTTTAAAATGTTTAATGCTTTTTTATGTTTTTGTATGTGTTGGAAGTCCCAGAGTGGCTGCAGCAATGCAGTCAGATGGGTGGGGTATAAATAATAAATTATTATTATTATTATTATTATTGAATAGGAAGTCCCTATTTTAATCGGAGAAACCTTAGAGGGTATGTGACATTGAGGACACATACTAAAATGATGGAAGTGGAATGGTATGTGGGTGTTCTTGTATGCAAATCTTTATCCCAGCTGGTATCAGCCTTGAATTTGCAATTAGTTTATGTATGTGCTTTTAAACTCTTCTTACACTATAATTGTTCTTAAAAGTTATTTTTGTATCTATCCATTTGTTTCAACTTTTTTTGTTTTTTTAATAAATGCAACTGTTTTATGTGCGTTATTATCTTGTAAATTGCTTTGGGATGCCTCATGGGAAGCAATTCGCAATTGAAAATGATAGTGATACAACCAGCACCAGCACCACTACTAGTAATATAAACCCATCACTAATGTGCTGTTATTGTGTCGTTGACATGTTAGAATACACACTTCCAAACCCACCCATCTCGAGGGGCCCACACCCATTTTCAGTACTGCAGCTGGAAGGTGAAAACATGTGTCACTTTGCAAGAAAATACAGCAATGTGCTGCAGGCTTCCTCAAAGTCCCCACTCAGTCTATGCTACAATGACTGCATGCCCATTAATTGTCAGCTGAGGCCCTTCTTCCCTTTGTATGCATCTCTCTGTGTGTGTTTTAGCAGTAAGTAATTGTAAGGAAACGAGAGTTCCTCCACATTCATAGTCATGTCAGGTTTTTAACAATGCCGGCTTCCTCTCTTCTCGCCCGTCAAGTACAATAAGATAACAGCACCTGGGTAGCATTGACTTGGAAGTGCTGGGCCTTCCTCGCGAGCTTCGCCTGTGTGGGGTTTTCTCCTGGGCAAAAAAATTAATTTGGGAACCTGTCATGATCCCCCTGCGTGAGCCAGGGAACATGATCAGAAAGGAACGGGCTGGTTAGCAAGCTGTTTATGAAAATCAATAGCAGACATGACAGGTGAATCTTTGAAATAATCCCTTTTTCTCTTTTTCCTTTAAACAATACCTGGTTTTCTGGCTCCCTTTCTTCCTTTAAATTACACTTATGGAGAGAGAAAAAATCCTTTCTAGCGTCTGAAACTACAGAATTCCACTCACTCTCGCCTCCCTTGAAATTCGACTTGAAAAGCTGCAGTGTTGTGTTTTGACCACAATGTAGGTCCAGTACTTTTCCAAGTTATAGAATAAAACTGTTGTCTATGTTTACTGGCGGTGAGTGTCAGCTATGGGGAGTCAGACCTGGGGGGGCCAAATGAGGCCCTTCACTGTCTGGCCCTTGGGACTCTCCCCAAGGTGCCTCACCTCTCCAGGTGACACCCCTCAATGTCTCTGCTTGGCCACCTCCTTGAGTGTTTTTATTAGGCTTGAACATGTCCTTCAACTCTGACAGTGATGGAGGACAGAAACTAGCCAACTGCACGAAGACGAAATTTACACCTGTTGCTCTGCCTACTTTTGCCTATGATCTTGTCCATCATTGGCATGTGGCCCGTTGATGTGACCACAAAGAGAGTGCAGCCCTTGGACTGGAAATTAAAAGGTCATCCATCCCTGGATAGAGAACCTGTGGCAGATGCTACTGGACTCCAAGGTACGATTCTATGATGTCTCTGCTTCCCTGATGACTGGCAAAGGCAGGTGGCATCTCCCTCTCCTGCTACGAGTCATTTACCACTCTTCAGACAGACTCCAGTCCATCCCTTTGGCTGGCTCTTCTAAGCCAGGAATATCAAAGGTCAAGAGGGTGTGTGTTTAGCTGGCCCCCTTCAAACATCTTGTCCACATTTTCAGGCTGCAGGAACTGAATCTGTGCCCTAACTCATAAAAGCTTAGTTCCAGGCACAGCTGCACACAGGGTATCATTGTCAGCATGTAGCCTGGACAGACAGAGTCAGGCTTCCTCCTTGCGCTATCAAGGATGGGATCATACTATGGGATCTTGCAAGTGGTAAGATGCACCAAGGGCCTTAAAAGACCTCGTCCACGAGGGTTCAGGGTAATTTTTCCCTGTTAGCCTCCCATCCATCCTTGGATTAGAGCCTCATTGAATTAGTTGGGTTGCTGGTTGATGGGCCTGGAATAGATTTTTCCCAATCCCAATTGGCCCTAGGTGTTGGGTGTTGTTGGGATTCTTCCCCCTCCTTCGCCTTCTCCTCAGTGAAATAAGACTTACTTATGTTAGGTGTTTGGTAGAAGCTGTTACTGCTTTGGGCAGGATCAGCATAGTAAAGGGGTTCCCACCTGCCTCCTTTTACTCCCCCTGGTGGGCAGCATTTTCCATTTTGTCTCAATCTGTTCCGGAAGTCTGTTCCAAAACCAAAGTATTCCAAAACCAAGGCACACTTTCCCATAGAAAGCAATGCAAAATGAATTAGTCCGTTCCACACTTTTAAAAACAACCCCTAAAACAGCAATTTAACATGAATTTTACTATGCAACAAACCGTTGATCCATAAAATGAAAGTAATAAACAATGTACTGCAGTCACACAATCAATCCATCAGTATCTGAACTGGGTTCTATACAGTCACAAAAACCAAACAAAAAGAGCTGCAAAAACAGAAATGCAAAATAAATAGCAAAAACAGAGACAGACCTCAGCGTAACACTCAAAATGGAAGTTTGGCACTCAAAATGGAAGCGTAACACTCAAAATGGAGCATGTTTAGCTACCGAAAAAAGTTCACAAAGCGGAACACTTACTTCCGGGTTTGCAGTGTTTGGGTTCCAAGTTGTTTGAGTACCAAGGTGTTTGAGAACCAAGGTATGACTGTGTGCGTGTGTGTGTGTGTGTGTATGGGACACCACAACTTCTTAAGCCTTGCCACATCTACACTGGCCAGGACTGGCAACCTTTTACCCTTTCCTCCCTTTCTCCTCTCTTCCGCTTTTTTTGGGGACGATGTTTTCACGTCCCCTCCCCTCCTACTTGAGTGTAGGCCCCATGGCCTTGAAACTTCCCCTGAACTTTTCTGAGCTAGTTCATTCTCTGGATGTATGTTGACTAGGGCTGTGGAGAACATCATGTTAATCTGGGAAGATGATTTCAGCTTCTGCCTCTGGTAAGCAACGGCTCGGCCTTCTTTGACTCAAAGGCATTCTGAAAATGCACACACTAACAAATCAGCATGAAAATTGCATTTGCTTTGTCTTCAAGGGCAAAGCAGAGTCTCAGCCTGCCCCCCTCCTTCCTTGCCCCCAAAGTTTCCCTTCCATTTTGTCACATTCCTAAATTATAAAGTTAGCTGTTGAACAGTGCTCTTGTTCTCTTTTTTTCCTTCCTTTCTTTTGGCGTCGAGTCCTGGGGCTGTCATTTTTGATAAGATGAACTGTTATTAATATTGATTGTGGTTTACAAGAGCTGCAACTTTAAAACAGTTGGAGCGGATGGACAGAAACAAGAAAGAAATGTGTTTTCCAATGTAGAGATTGGGTAGATTTCTGAACCTTCTTGAAAGGGAACAAAGGGACAGCAGAACTGCAATAGCCAACTGACCAGAAAACCAGATATGTGCCCAGCAACACATGCCTGCACGGAGAATTTTTAAGGAAACAGACTGAAAAGGTCAAGGATCCTACTGTTAGGGCCGGTTCTGCCATTAGGCAGAGTAGGGCAGCCACCTCAGTTGGTGAATGCTGGAATGACCTGCTCAACTGACGTGCTGCTGTTAGTTACTATGGATGACATCGTCACCATTGTGGAAGCTGTATTCAGTTGCCAGTCCATTTGGCTTTTGTACATCCCATGGGAAGGCACCATCCTGTCCTTTTCCTCAGGCAGCAAAATGTATTGGGCCAGCTCTGCCTGCTGTGGAAGGGGCATCTCTTTAGGACTGGTCTGGATAGGGTTAGTGAATGGAAGAACAAGGGCAGAGCCAGGTGTGTCCAGCTTCAAGCCAAACAACCCACATGGCAGGACCTGGTAGTGGACGGGAGAGGAGAACTTATTCCTTGTGATACATTCCAGGCTACACATCAGGGCTGGGGGACCAGTGGCCCTCCAGATGTTGTTGGATTCCAACTCTCATCAGCCCCAGCCAGTAAGGCAAATGGTCAGGGAAGATGGGAGTAACACCTGTAGGTTCTCCATCCTTCCTTAGCTTAAGGTTCTGACCTGGATGTCAACTAGCAATCTCTTGCCAGCATCACCCCCAGTTCCTCTGGTTTCTGTTGGACAGCCTTCTTTGCTATAGCCTGGCTAACAAGGCCAAGAAAGAATCTTGCCAAGTGGCAAAAATGTGTATATTAGGAAACATTTAATACAACCACGTGTATGTTGGGAGAAATTTGCACTAAAATTCTGATTTGTTTTCATCAGCACTTAAAAAACAAAAAATATCTCAAACTGCTGTGGCTATGTGGAGAATAGAACTTGAGATTGGGAAAACGAGAAATATGGAGAAACTGAAATTGAGAGATTTGCCCATCCCTGATGGCCAGGGGAGATGGAAGCTATACTCTGGCATCCATTTGAAGGGCACCACGTTGGTTACCACTGATCTCCATCATCACAGCAAGCGTTGTCTTAGGTCCTGCACCTAGACAGATAAACAGAAGGCAATGGATGGTGTATTGTACCCTGAAAATCACACTGAACCAGAATAATTTTGCTGCCTATCCTTCCATCCCTTTTGATAGGATTTATGGTCAGGCAAATGGAAATAGCTCCTTTGCATGGAGTCCAGTTGGAAATAAATCTCCCCAGCTCTTCCACCCGCCACCCAGTATTATATGCCTGTAAGTATTCAGATCAGAGCGATTTATGGCACAGGGCTAATTCGTACTGGGCAGCCTCAGCTCTGTCTGTCATTAGTTCTAATGGACCATGAGCTTGGAATTGGGAACTGGTGTATCCAGATAAAGAAGTAAATTTGGCCGGTATTGTGCAGGACCTGTTGATAAGCAAAGATGCTCAGCCCTTATGGAAAAGGTTATTTTACCATTCTTCCCTGTCTAGTCATGGGGGTAGTAACTGTTAATTGGGCAAGCCAGAAATGTCAAGGGATTTGCAAGTGGAAGAGGTGAGGGGGAAAGAAAGAAAGAAAAAGTATCTCTTAATAACAGGGAGCTAATTAACCGAGCAGGGAAATAATCTGGTGTGAATTATAATTTATTCAATGAGTTTTGCTCCCTTTTATCTGTCCATGGATTGTTTGCAAACAGATGGTGACTTTCTAGGATCCATTCATTATTAACAATTACTTGACCCCTTAATTTCTGTGAATAATTATCAGTCAGAGGCTCATTTGCAAAATGGTTTGCTTGCGGTTTCAGCTGTTAAAAGGGGGGGGGAGATTCAGAGTCAAATTTTCAAATCTGTGAGGTTGGGTGTTTTTTCCTCCCCCCCTTTTTTTGTCACCCTCGTAATTCTTTGTTATAAAACTGTAACCCGGAGCCAACATAAGACACCACGGATTGATATATTTAATTTTGTTAATAAAAGTATGTACATACTCAGCCCCTGCCCTGCCCTGCCGAGTTAGCAGCAGTATGCTTGTGAACGCCAATTGCTGGAAACTGCAGGAGGGCAGCTGTGCCTGGGTCCTGCTTTAAGGCTTCCCACGGGCATCCGCTTGGCCTCTGTGAGAACACAATGCTGGACTAGATGGGTCATTGGACTCTTCTTATGTTATTGCATTTTCATAAAATACAGTGGTACCTCGGGATGTGAACGGGATCCGTTCCGGAGCCCCGTTCACATCCTGAACAGAACATAAGATGCGATGGAGCGTCTGCGCGTGCGTGGGTCATGTTTTGCCGCTTCCGCGCATGCGCGTGAAGTCATTTTGAGCGTCTGCACATGTGCAAGCGGCGAAACCCGGAAGTAACGTGCTCCGTTACTTCTGGGTTGCCGCAGAGCGCAACCCGAAAGCGCTCAACCTGAAGCACATTCAACCCGAGGTATGACTGTATCAGGGTGGTGCTCAGTAATATAAAATAACATTAAAAAACACAGATCAGTATAAGGACAGCCTACTCAAGAAAATTCTAAAGAACTACATAGGCCTGTTGACATCAAAGAGTCTTCAAGAGCTCCTTGAAGTCAAAAGCAAGGACTCCTGCCACATCTCTGATAGAAGAGCATTCAGCTGAATGACCATCTTCTAGTTCAGGCCACTTGGGCTTCTGTAACATGGAGGACAACATCCTCCAGATGGTCTCGGATATAAGGACTCAGGAGGTCCTTAAGGTTTCCTGGGCCCAGTTGGTTCAGGGCTTTGTATACCACCAGAAGCAGCTTGAACCTGTCCCAGCAGCATGTGAATAGACCGTGTAGATGTTTTAATGCTAGAAAAATGCAACCTGTGCTGCTGATAGCAGTGCGACTCATGCAGCACGTTGGCAATTAATATACACAGGACAATAATTATACATGCTTTATCAACCTTCTGAGAAAAATACAAAACATTAAACAAAGCCACAAAGACTTGAGAACTACCCAGTCTGAAATGAACTTATAATGTCTGGTTTCAATAGATTTTTCAAGTGCTTAACTCAGTCTTTTGGATAAGTTCATGAAGATACCAACAAAAGGTAAGTTCGGTGATATTCACAGTACTGAGAGGTGCTAGTAGGATTGTACATAAAGGTAAAGGGGACCCCTGACCATTAGGTCCAGTTGTGACCGACTCTGGGGTTGCGGCGCTCATCTGGCTTTATTGGCCAAGGGAGCTGGCTTACAGCTTCAGGGTCATGTGGCCAGCATGACTAAGCCGCTTCTGGCAAACCAGAGCAGTGCACGGAAATGCCGTTTACCTTCCCCCTGGAGTAGTACCTATTTATCTACTTGCACTTTGACGTGCTTTCGAACTGCTAGGTTGGCAGGAGCAGGGACCGAGCAACGGGAGCTCACCCCATCACAGGGATTTGAACCACCGACCTTCTGATCGGCAAGTCCTAGGCTCTGTGGTTTAACCCACAGCGCCACCCGCATCCTTGTAGTAGGATTGTACATAGATGTTAATAAAGTTGTAGACAATGAAGTTGTAGACGACAGGGTGCCGGTGTTTTGCACCTGTTTCGTCCTGGCAGTCCAAGTAATCAAAAGGCCAGTGTTCGCCCCCGATGGGGCCCTCTAACTGGGGCTTGCAGGTAGCACACTCCCAAGGTAGTTTTAGCAGAGGTGTCACATGCTGTTGGCCATCTGCCCCCACCAGCAGTTTAGCTGCTGCATTTTGCACTTGCTGAAGCTTCCAGACGAGGCCTAAGAACATCCCCACATAGAGCACATTGCAGCAATCCAGATTTGAGGTTACTAATACATAGACTACAGTGGCAAAGTTCTCCCCTTCCAGATATGTGCGTAGCTGGTGTACAGTGGTACCTTGGTTCTCAAACTCAATCCGTTCCGGAAGTTCCTTCCAAAACCAAAGTGTTCCAAAAGCAAGGCGTGCTTTCCCATAGAAAGTAAGGCAAAATGGATTAATCCGATCCAAATTTTTAAAAACAACGCCTGAAACAGCAATTTAATATGAATTTTACTATCTAAGAAGACCGTTGGTCCATAAAATGAAAGTAATAAACAATGTACTGCAGTCACACAATCGATCCACCAGTAGCTGAACTGGGTTCCACACAGTCACACAAAAAACAACAACAAAAAGAGCTGCAAAAACAAAAACGCAAAATAAATAGCAAAAACAGACAGGCCTCAGCGTAACACTCAAAACGGGAGTGTGGCACTCAAATCGGAAGCATAACACTCAAAACGGAGCATGTTCGGCTTCCGAAAAAGGTTCACAAACCGGAACACTTACTTCTGGGTTTGGAGTGTTTGGGTTCCAATTTGTTTGAGTACTAAGTCATCTGAGAACCAAGGTACCACTGTACTACACAAGGCTGGTAAAAGGATTTTTTTTTTTTTTTGCCACAGATGTCATGTGGGCCTCTAATGACAAAGATGTACCCAGGAGTACACCAAAGCTATATACCTGTTGCTTAGGAGGGAGTGCAACCCCACCCAGAACAGAGAGCTGGCCTATCTTCCAGAGATGGAAGCCACCTACCCACAATGCCTTCATCTTCCCAGAATCCAAATCCAGTTTCTTGGACCTCATTCAGTCCTTCACTGCATTAAGACATTGATCCAGGACTTGTGTGTGTGAAGAAGTTTTGAGCCAGTTGCTGCAGCTCATACCGCATGGCTCTTACAAGCCATTCTTCAGTTCCTAGACCAATAATTTAGGAACATTCACCACTGTAACTAAACAAAGTTTTGCCACCTGCACAACTTTTTCTGAATGCTGTGTGGGAAAAGTATATGAATCTGACTTTTGGTGAGTTTGTAAGTAAACCATTTTAAATTTACCAAACGTGGTCTTTTTCTACAGGAGAGGAAGAGGGGAACTTTGGAAGGAACATATAAAGATAATAAATAAAAAATAATAAAGATCCAATGGGCTATATCTCCATGCTTTGCTTTGCTGCATATTTTGTGGTTTTCAACCTCTGCTGGGCTTCTCTCATCTGAGTACTGAGCTGTGGCTGGATGGGTACATGGGAGCCAGTTGAAGTTAAATCCTTTGGCTGGGAAGGGACGATATGGGATTGGGGGGGGGCAACTCCCATCTCTTGCGGGGGTGCAATTAGTGCCAGCATCGTCCATTAAGAGTTTGGGTGTAATTTTCGACACCTCCCTTTCCATGGAGGCGCAGATTGCAGCTATAACAAAGGCGGCATTTTTTCATCTCCGCCAAGCTAAGCAGTTGGCTCCTTACCTCTCTCGCCCTGACCTAGCCACTGTGATCCACGCGACGGTCACCTCCAGACTGGATTATTGTAACTCGCTCTACTAGGTCTGCCCTTGAGACTGACCCAGAAACTCCAGCGGGTGCAGAATGCCGCGGCAAGACTACTTACGGGGTCCTCGCTGCGAGATCACATTCACCCGGTGCTATACCAGCTGCACTGGCTCCTGGTGGAGTACAGGATCAGGTTTAAGGTGCTGGTTTTAACCTTTAAAGCCCTATATGGCCTAAGACCCTCGTACCTACGGGACCGCCTCTCCTGGTATGTCCCACAGAGGAACTTACGGTCTTCAAACAAAAACATCCTGAAGGTCCCAGGCCACAGAGAGGTTAGGCTGGCCTCAACTAGAGCCAGGGCTTTTTCGGCTGTGGCTCCAATCTGGTGGAACGCTCTGTCACAAGAGACTAGGGCCCTGCGGGACTTGACATCTTTCCGCAGGGCCTGCAAGACAGAGCTGTTCCACCAGGCCTTTGGTCAGGGCACAGCCTGACTCCCTCCTTTGGCAATCTTCACAGAACTTTAGCCTAATGGTTGCCAGCAATTTGAGTTGAATTAATTTTATAATGAAATGATTTTAGAATGTTGTACTATTTTATTGTTGTTGGCAGCCCTGAGCCCAGCTTCGGCTGGGAAGGGCGGGATATAAATAAAATTATTATTATTATTATTATTATTATTATTATTATTATTATTATTATTACTTGCCCCAAACTTGGATCTTAGCATCCTGGAAATCTCAGGACGGCTTGCACAGACTCTCCTGATACAGATGTTATGGAGAAGCAGAGCTGTGTGTCATCAGTGTATTGTTGGCTCTGTGCTCCAGAACTCCCCATGGCTGCTCCCAATGGCTTCATATAGATGTTAAATAGCAGTGGGGACAGATTTTATATGGCATGGGGAGCAGGGGAAGCAACCCAGGACCTGCTCCACAAAGGTTCTTTTTTTGTTGACATATTTACAAGTGCTGCATAATATCCATTTGTAAGTTGTAAGAACTTGATCTTTCAGCAGAGAAGTGCTTAAACTCGGAAACTTAGGCAGATGCCTTTTGGGTGCCTGATCACCATTTTCTTCTTGTGGCAAGCCTACCCAGACATGTATAACCGACACACATTTTAATATACATTTTAAAATGAATACTGTTTATTTTTACCTTCTGATTTTATTTATATTTATTTTAGGTCACCTTGCTTCTAACCTATAGGCTTCATTTTTAATGTGCATTTTATGTAAACCACTTAGAGGTTCTTACAGTGAAGAAGTATGCAAATTCTGTTAAGACAAATACTTTTCTTAAGGCTTCTGAGCCTGTTTAGCCAAACACACTTGGAAGCTCCCTTCTAATATTGCTTACTGGCCTATCCCGAACAACAACAACAGCAAAAAACCCCATAAAACTATATGTCAAGTGGAAGTGATTATTATAAAGGCAGATGGATCGTAGTTAGTGAAAACGCCATATTGGATAATTGTCCCATATTCTTGATTCATGCAGCTTCAAGCAGGGCTGCATCTTTGAAATATAGATATGTTTTCCAAAATTCATTCATTGATATAAATGATCCTTTCCAGTATTTCATTTGTTAGACCAAGCAGCGAGAGGTACAGTTGCCGAGAGAAGAGCTTGGTGGAAACATTAAGTTGTATCCTGGATTCTTGCAAATCTTTAATACAAGATTTCCCCTCTTTCTCTTCAATAATCTTTGTGTGGTTTATGAAAGGAGGCAATTTTTCAGCATATTTGTAACAAGATGTGGTTTCTTTAAAGCATTTTTTTAAAAAAAAAAATAGTCAAAGGACACAAACCAATATAAGAGAGACACAAAACTGCCTTATACTGTTTAAAAAGAAGAAGAAGATTGGGAACCGTTTATGTTGTGTTTACAGAAACATTGTAAAAAATTGGACTCATTAGTAGGGTTTGAGGAAACACTTGCAACTAAGAAAACAAATGCCAAGGTTAAGAAATAACAATCTGGATATTAATTAACTGTAAGACATAATTGGAAAGAAAATTTGGTTAAAAAAATAATGATAAGACTATAAGAGTTTTTAACTAAATATTAACAAAGTAAGGAAAAACAAATTAAGCAGAAGTTGTGAATATTTAAAGAACTGGAAGGGGAAGTTGAGGGAAGTCATGGGGTGGTGGTGGGGATATTTGGATTCTTTAACTATTTTTCTTTTATATGATAAATGTGTGGAATATTAAATTGTAATAATAATATGTATATTTTATACTGAGTCAGACTTACTGAACCACCTACACAGCATTGTCTATATAGACTGGCTTGTTTGAAAAGGAAAGTCTTTAACAGACACCAAAAGATCATAGAATTGTAGAGTTGGGAGAAACAGTGAAGATTGTTCAAGTCCAATCCCCTGCAATGCAGGAATATACAGCTGTCCCATACGGTGACTGAACCTGCAACCTTGGCATTATCAGCCCCACGCTCTAACCAACTGCAGTGGCTTTCCAGGGTTTCAAACAGGGAGCCTCTTGGGGATTGAAGGACCCTTTCTCCAAATGTAGACCAGCTGGGCAGCTACAGGTTCCTTAGTCCTGGGCAAAGGTCATATGTTAGAAATCCTCTTGTACAGGTGTTTATAAATAATGTCACAGCAGCCATTTCATTGAGCAGAAACTGGATGGAATCCTCCCCCTTTCTATGTCTACCCCACTTTTCCTCTAGGGCATGGGTAGGCAAACTAAGGCCCTGAATCCGGCCCAATTGCCTTGTAAATCCGGCCTGCGGTCGGTCCGGGAATCAGTGTGTTTTTACATGAGTAGAATGTGTCCTTTTATTTAAAATGCATCTCTGGGTTATTTGTGGGGCATAGGAATTCGTTCATATTTTTTTTCTTCAAAATATAGTCCGGCCCCCCACAAGTTCTGAGGGACAGTGGACCGGCCCCCTGCTGAAAAAGTTTGCTGACCCCTGCACTAAACTATAGCTTGTTTAGTTTATATGTAAATACGGCACTGGGACCAAGCCAGCCTGGAGACTGGCCGTGTGGCAACCCTAGTCTCCCATCAGTGCTCAGCACCCTTAGCAAACCACATTTCCCAGGATTCTTTGGGGGAAGCCATGACTGTTCAGAGTGGGATGGTACTGCTTCAAATGTATAGAAGAAGAAGAGTTTGGATTTGATATCCCGCCTTTCACTCCCTTTGAGGAGTCTCAAAGCGGCTAACATTCTCCTTTCCCTTCATCCCCCACAACAAACACTCTGTGAGGGAGTGGGGCTGAGAGACTTCAAAGAAGTGTGACTAGCCCAAGGTCACCCAGCAGCAGCATGTGGAGGAGCGGAGACGCGAACCCAGTTCCCCAGATTACGAGTCCACTGCTCTTAACCACTACACCACACTGGCACACTGCAGATAGGGCTAAGGTTGGCTACAACCCTATATTTTTTAATGATTTTTCCTCCCTCCTTGCCCTTTCCAATCCTATGTCCTGCTCCTTTTGTTCCTGCTCTTCAGGATTACCCCACGAGCCTTCAGCTACCCAAAACTGAGCTGCATCAAGGAGACAAGCGCTCACTTTTGGGTACTTTCAAGACTGTGTTTATGACAACAAAGATGAATATGTTCTTGCTTCTGTAGGCAGCTCATAGAAACAGGGAAACATTATGTGACAGTGTTTTCACTAGCACAGGCCCGAGGGACCATCAGACAAAGCAACGCAGCTCCAGCAATAAAGAAAAGCCAGGAGTTTCATTCAATTATTCATATTTCCATTGTGTCTCATTTTTTAAAGTGGCACTTTCTCGGCATTGATCGTTTGACAGCAGCTCGTTTGATTTTTCTTCTCGTGTGATATATATTTTTTCCTTACCTCATCCCTTCTGTTTATATAACCGGCAAGGGGGCCATTTCAGATAGTCCCTCATGACAGGGTTTCCCCTCCCTCCATCCCAAAATGTGGATATCCACAGTGGCCACTGACTGACAACAGAAATGCGAGTGTGTAACCTGCTTTGACCCTTTTGCAGATGCCACATCTAATCAGCGTCACTGAAATAAAAATTGACCCAATAAATAGCTTAGGGATATGGTAAGAGCAAACTCTTCTCCTCTCTTCATCTCTGGTTTAGCTGCTCTGATCTGTACTAAGCAGGGATGGGAGGGTTCCTGAGAATGTGGGGTTCTGACACTGGGTTTTGATAGGCTGTGCAGGCGATTTGATGGAATCCTGAATTGCATTGGGCCAAGTTCAAGGAGATCTGGGCATGGGCTAAGTCAGGCTGAGAGAGCCTTGAATTAGCCCAGTTTGGGTGAGGCCAGCTGGACTGATCCAGGGCTGCCAACTGGTGGGCATTAGCCATAAAGGCTGGAGGTCTGCTTTGCCAGCCTGCTCCATGAATGGAACTCACTGGGGAAGCAGACCCCAGCAGGATTGAATCTTCCACTCACCAACTGGTAAGCGGAAGCTTTAGTCCTGCAAAATATTGGGTGCTCTGGGATGGGGAGAGTGGTCCCCAGGTTGGCCTAAATCAAGGGGCGCATAGCCCTGGATTTCCACCCCTTGATTCATTTAGAATTAACCCAGAACCCTTGTGATTAAGCTGAGATGCAATGGAACTCATTCATATACAACAGCAGTGAGGCTTCTGGAGGGACCTGG